TTGGCAAATGGCGCCGCTAGCGAACGTTTGGCTCATGGATCGGTTCCCGGAACTAGTCCCACAGTGCAGTCCATCCCACGTGTTGCTTATCATTAAATCAATTTGAGAAGATGAAAGTATTGAGTGGACATGGGTTGGCTATAACAAGTCTTTATACTTTCCGAGTAGACTTTAAATTTCCGCTGTGATTCAGTGAAGGACGAATGCGGGTGCTTGAAAGCACATCCCGCGTCAAAAATAGCCACTTTACGGCTTATTTACCATAAAAGGATGGCGAATAAAATCAAAGTGAAGAAAATAGCAGAAGAAAACCGCCCGTAATTCCCCCTATAGAACCCCTGTTGAGGTGCGCTGCGTGCTTAAGGCTAAGTGGGGGCGTAAACGGACGAGTTTTCACTTTTTAGTGTCAGCTCTTTCTCCTTATCACCTGACTCTCACCATTCGACATGGAGAGGAGTAGTAGCGGAATAACCGCACCACCAGAAAGCTTTTAGAAATGAAAGTTGGGCGTTGCCATGGGCAGTGGGCGGAGCAGTTGTCTCGTTGCAAGCGGGTCTACAACTATTTCCAAAGAAGGCGTCTGAACATCAAATGAACATACAGCGTGCCTTTTGCGAAAGCGGTCGATACTAGGCGTTTTAACCTTTTTGTAAAGAAAGAACTAGTAGAACGGTGGATGAACAGTTGGAAGAATGATACTGTTCTCAAAGAGCTAAGTGCGAGAAGAAATTGTCGTCAACAAAGGTATAGGAATAACGGATGAGCTTCTAGCGTTTTAGTTGACAGCGGTTTTTCTGTGAAGATCTTGGTTCAGCAGTAGGAGGCCACTAAAACGGCACGCTTAACCATATGAATTGCGAAAGGACGAGATGAACTGTGGTTCCACGACTGAATGAATAGTGGGCGTCTAGTGTGTGGGGAAGGAGGGGGGGGGGTGGCTATCTAAAGAGCCTACGTCGTATCTTCTCCCAACTTTCGCATGAAAATGAGAATGGTTGGGATGATGTTTGTGGGATTCCCCACACAACATTCTCCTGCTCCAAGCGTTATGCCCAGGTATGATTTTCGCCTTTTAGTCAAGGTACAAAGAGTTTGTTGTTTCTTTGACCGCGCTCAGGGTGTTTAATAGTTCGTGATAGCTTTCTAACGATAGCTTTCACACTACATGCTGCTCAACACTAATATAGTTTCCTGTTCTTACTTAACAGTTCGAAATTTCCTGTTCTTAATAGTTCGAAATTCTTTATTGAACAGTGTAACTGAGGAAATTTAGAACTCTTCCGAAATACATATTTATTATTTACGTTCATACCCAGTACTACATCATTCATCTCAAGCATTTTGTGAGGATGGTTGGTTCAACGAATTCTCCTTATCTCATTTGAGCTTGCAAACTCAGATTGAAGGAAGCATATTATTACAAAGAGTGCAAATGATGCAAAATTTGTTAGTGTGACTGCAGCTGGATGATTACCCCTTAATCTCGGACTAGCGCTCTTCTCTTGCAGGTCTTGCCTCCAGTTGAGCGTGAAAATGCTCAGTGATGCGATATAATCGCTCACATATATTTATTTTATTTTAAAGCATTGGTTCTCCAATTCCTGAATAGCAACTGCACTGAGTTTTAAAAATCATAAATTAATACTAAGCCGGAGGTGGTGAAGTGGTAAGGGTACGCGTATAATGAACATAGTCCGGGGTTTGGATCTCGGATCGGCTCCCGCTCAGATCAACCAAACCTTCTACCCTCCGAGTGTGGTAACTTTGTACCAAATTCGACTGGGAAGATAGAAACACTGATTTGTACGTCCTCTCATGTCATTATATAGGCCACATCGTATTCATTAAGCCACTGCGATTCAGAATGCATTCCGCATCCCAAAAAGGAATTTGTTCATTCAGAAGACCTCTGACTTTCAAATTCCAACCAAAGTTGCATTTCAAAACTGAGTTTGGGTTTTGGTGGGGTTAGCTCGCTGGCCCGCCGATCATTGCCGATGCCTGCTATGGTGACCTGTGAACTCGTGTAAT